ATAAACATATTATATAAATATAAATATAGTACAGTTTCCTTAAATTGAAATAAAACATCTATTTTCTTTAACGGGTTCGGTATAGTCAGAGTCACAAAAAAACCAGAAAAAATGTGTACTTCTGTTGCACCGAGGCTATCTATAATAACCTACAAAATCACTTTTTTCAGGAGAGTAGAGCTTAAATATTTGATTCATTATATAGCATAAGAGTAAAAATCTAACGTTGCCGTATTAAATGGCTATTGAAGATTTTCCAACAAATCTGCTATTGAGCGGTTTTGAGCTGATTTAATATGATCTCGTTTTATTGAGTAAATCATTTTTATATATTTAGGTTGATATATGTACATATGTGGGTTAGGTTTAATTTGAAGCAAAAGTGTATTACTATAATATCAATATCTGCTCGAATTTTTACCAATCCGTCGTAATTCATTAGAGTTAATGACAATAATTGTATATGAGATTTTCTTGTTTATTATGTGCTTAATAGTTGCTACAGTCGCAATACAATCTCCCCTCGTTAAAGGACAGAACTATTGTACTCTCGAGCACTGTCAAATATCTGGGAGTTATTCTAGATAAAAAAACTAGGCTGAAGAGAACACACTGAGGTCCAAAGACCTTGGAATATGTAACTTCTGCAGAAGAGCCATTGCCACAAAGTGGGGTTTACGAATCCACATGGTCTATTGGCTCTACACAGCTGTCATCCGTCCCATAATAACATATGCTCCGATGGTATGGTGGATGGCATTATCGAAAAAGTACTGTATTAAACCTCTAGAACAGGTGCAACGATCATGCTTGCTGGGGAATACGGGCGCAATGAAAACCACGTCAACAAAGGCTCTGGATGTTATCTTCGACATCCCGCCAATACATATACAAGTAGAAAATGAGGCAATCCTTGCAACTAGCCGGCTCATGATTTAAGGCCATTGTAGTCAGACTCCGCGTCACATCGAGCAATATCTTACTCGACCTTGTTAAAGAAATTGGCAATGTGATCGAGAAAAGGAGATCCATGAAGAATTAAACACAACGTTGTCATTTTCCAGTAGAGGAGAATGGACCAAAGGTTCTGTGATCGACAGTTTCAACGCCGAAATCTACATATACACTGACGGATCAAAGGATGAAATAGGAATAGGAGCGGACTTCTTCTGTAGTAATACATACATACACAGAAGGTAGCTTTAAACTAGACTAAATTTAGTCTTTCGAAATTGTGGGCAAAAGGTGCCAAGAAGGCTACTGCATGGTCAAGGTTCAATTAAGGTTATCCGTAACGCCAATACAAAGTTTCACTACGTTAGGTTATGCAAGCAGGCAATAAATAAATTCTCAAGAGGCAACTCGGTTAATATCATCTGTAGATATCCTGACATATAAGAAGAGAAGGAAAAGAAGTGGCAGACGAGCTGCCCTAGACCATTCAGTTCATTCAAGGGTTGTTTGTAGTAATAGAGCCTAGAGGAGCACCTCATGACTTGGAACACTAGCAGCACAGGGCATACCACAAACTTACTTTATGGTACTGTTGATGGTGGGAAGACCAAAAAGCTTCTACATCTGGGCAAAAAGGAACTTAGTAATATTGTAGGGGTCATCACAGGCCGCCTGCGGTCTGCCGCTCATGCGCCTCTTTTTTCAACTGACCAATAGTTGCTACATATTATATAATCGTTAAGAGAGAAAAATTGTAATTATTCTTGGAATATGTTTAAAAGTGCAGGATAAACTGAATAAGATAGTGAATAGAACAGAAGGGGATTGAGAAATAAAAAAGTATTTCATTAAAATGCGATAGGCTAATAATAGAGATTGTAACCTTTCCTCATGAAAAGTTATACATCTCATATAAAAATTAAATTAAATGTTTTTTATGATCATTTACTTAAATCTGTTTATTCGATCACCCACAAAGTCACGTAGTACCTTCTCAGCTGATGCCGAGTTAGCGCTTGCCACTTCTGTCATCACTTGGTTCGGTGCAATTGAGCAATTTGCAAAGTTTTAGAGTAAGCTAAAAGGAATTTAAAGTGGAATGAAGACGAGAGTAAGAAATGAAAATAATAAAAATTTAGCCATTTATTTACACTACAGCTATGCTTCTGCCTTGGTCCATTTCTTCACACGCAGCGCCGAGTGTATTTATTTAACCTACTCTTTGCTGCTGTGATTTGACTTTGCTTTGAAACTGGGCAGGTGGAATAACCAACGAAAGTGAAATAATATTTGTTAACCGCAAAAGCACGCATTTGCAGAAGCACACAGGGTGACTCAGTAAAGGCGCGAGTACGATAAAAAAAAGTGCTTTTGATTCGTCAGCATTTGGATAGTGTCAAATCGATGAAACAACTATTTTCATACCACTTGGGATCAGCAGTATCAACTCCAGATAGAGTATATGACGCTAATAATATTATTGTTGTGTCCCATTGCAATATTTTTGACAAGAGAGCGGCTCTTAAATAAACCGAACTGAGAAGTAGCCACGACAAAATATCTCTGTTGCATTAGACTCGTTTCGATCAACTATGGAAAAGAAATTTATTTTTGTTTTATTACTACGGAAGGAAGTTCATGTAAAGTATAGTTAAGTGAGCGATGAAAGTCGATCCACACTTCATATTTCGGTTAAAACTAAACAACATTTTATAAATTACCAGAAATGATTCTCATTATATTATATACATATACGTTTATGTATTTCCTTTTGGTCCCAACTTTTTAGCAATAATTTTTTTTACTTCTAATAGAGCACCCTTTATCAAAACGTATACTCAAAACTATGTGCTTAAGCCATTAGTGAACGGAATTGAAATAAAATAAAAAGCGCATGGACCTAGTACATTTAATAAAAAACACAAACAATGGGATCCAAATTTCTGAGACATATCTGCAAATGGTAAAAATATAATTTAAGGATTACTATATTATAAGTGAAACAAGAAAAAGGGATAACTTCAGCTACACCGAAGTTATAATACCCTTCACTAATAAAACAAGTTTCTATACAAGAACTTGGTTTTTTCGGTCAGTTTGTATTGCATTTTGATATAGTGGTCTGATCTATACAATTTCTTTGGAGATTGTAGTGATGCCATGTATAATACTCTTTATTAAATGTAATGAAGATATATTATCAAAATTTTATTCTTTATGATGCAATCCTAAATATATATTTTTAATATCTCACCCTGGTTTATTAATTATTATACAATTGGTCTACAATTAGATAGGGTCTAATTAATAATTCAGGTGTTGAAGTGCGTACAAGAGCATTTAGACGCTTATTAAACATGGTCAAGTGACCATTTAAAAATTGCCGAAACAAAAAAAAAATTTTATTGCATTTCGATAAATTCGCTTAGCACTTGTTACTCATACAATTTTTGATTTGCTCTTGTCGTCAGTTCCGCATATCGCTTTGCCCTAACAAAACTTCAGCTAAAAGCTATTCCAGCTATGCGGCTTCGTAAATATGGATTTCGTTTTACTTTAAACTTGATTTGGTGCCCGAACGAAAAATAAAAAATAACAAGTAAGGAAGAGCTAAGTTCGGATGTAACCGAACATTTTATACTCTCGCAAAGTCAAATGGTATACTCGTTTGAGATTTCTTTGTGGATTGACTGATATTTTCGGTAGAAGGTCAACTATAGGCAATGGGGTCCATATATTTAGTACTTAGGGGTTTGAACAGTTTTGGTTTGATTTAGACAATTTTTGGCCGCAAGGTGGTATACTTTAATTGCATTATTCACGCAAAGTTTTACCCCGATATAACCATTGTTACCTGATTTGCATAGTGGAAAGTGAAAGAATCAGATGGAATTGAAAATGGTGTTACATGGGAAGTAAGCGCGGTTGTAGTCCGATTTCGCCCATTTTCGCACTATGACATAGAAACATGAAAAGAACGTTATGCACCGAATTTGGTTGAAATCGGTTAAGCAGATCTCAAGATATGGGTTTTCACCTAAAAGTGGGCTGTGCCATGCCCACTGTCTAATTTTGAACGCGGTTCCTATAAAGTCATCTTATACCATCTCAGAGATAAAATTTAATGTCTCTGGCGTATTTAGTGCTGGATTTATCGCGCTTTTAGTAGTTTTTAACAGCACCGTTATATGGGGAGTGGGCGGAGTTGCCACCCGATTTCAACTATTTTCACACCGTCAATAGAAGTGCTAAAAACATTTACTTCTAGTGAATTTTGTTATTATAGCATTAGCGGTTTAGGAGATATGCACATTAAACCTATTAGAGGCGGGACCACGCCCACTTTTTAAAAAAAGTTTTAACTGCAGATGTCTATCCCTAATGTGATCCTGTGTACCAAATAACAGTCTTGTATCTTATTGCGGAGCTTAGTTATGGCAAGTTATTTGTTTTTGATTAATGGCGTTTTGTGGGCGTGGCAGTGGTCCGATATCATAAAGATATCTCAATTTTTACTCAAGTTAGAGCTTGCACGGACGGACGGACGGACGGACAGACAGTCACCCGGATTTCAACTCGTCTCTTCATCCTGATCATTTATATATATATAACCCTATATCTAACTCGATTAGTTTTAGGTGATACAAACAACCGTTAGGTGAACAAAACTATTATACTCTGTAGCAACAGGTTGCGAGAGTATAATAATGAAAATTCCAAATTGGCCTTTCCATTTTGAACACAAAAGCTGCAACGAAGAAACCGGAATACCAATACACATATGTATGTATGCGTATATATGTACTTGGCAGACGTGAGCCAACGCCGGCCAGCTCATGCCAATGTAAAGCAGCAAGAGCCAATGTAAAACATAGACACGAATTGAAAGTGAGAGTGGGAGCGTCAAGTCTAGTATGTGAGTGAAGGCGAAAAGCTTTCGCCAACGCTACGGTTGCTGGCTGCGTGCTGGACGAGTCGATGATGGCCGTACAATGCTTAGGAAATGCAGCCAATGAAGAGTTTTGAAATTACCGATCATTGGCCAAAGTGCAGCCGAGGAGTAAACACGCGCGGGCGGCGCTATAGGCAGACAGTGAAGTGTCGTGTGCGAAATAAATCGAAATGAATATAAGAAACAGTGATAAAAGCAAGATATACATATACACATATATATATAGAGTTTAAAAACAGCTTAAAACTTTAATTGCATGTAGTGTAGTGTGATGCATAGGATAGTAAAAATTAATAACAACAACAAGGTACAATACTCTGCGCGCAAAGTAAACATAAAAAACAAATAAAAACAAACTAACGGAAAATTTGTAAGTTTCGGAAACGGCGTTCGAAAACAAGTTTCATAAATTTAACTCCAAATCACTTTGGGAATATCACGTGCAACATTTTACTTCCTTTGTAAAACCCTTAATTTAACAGAAATTGGCGTGTTTTCGCATGAGTAGTTAAAATTTAAATACAAAAATTTTCGGCGTTACGTCGCATGCGCGTCGCGTGCGTGACCAAATCGTGTTAGGCCTAACAAACGCACCCAAAATAGAAATTGTCAACTATTAAACGGTTTCAATTTAACGGCGAGTTATCGAAACACGGAAGGGAGAACCGTTTAAGGGCGTCACAAGGCGGTGATATTGAAATATTTGTTTTAATTTGGAAAATATATATGTAAGCGAGTAAACATAAGCAAATATTTGACGGAAAATCCAACGCTATGGGCAGGACCACCGTCCGCTGAATAATTCTAGTTAGAATTAAGAAGGTAAGTTGGTGTGGTTTCCAAAAAGAATACTGGACAAAACTAACCTCATGTCGTCAGTAGTATCTAGGTGAAAGATTAGGTTTTGAGATATATGTGCTGCTGTTATTCTTCGAACAACATAAACCGTCGTGAGAATGATCGAGCAAACCTCTGAAAAGGCCTCACACTCAAAGCACGGTCCATATTAATGACAGCCGAGTTCATATTAGCTAATAAGTAAATATATTTTAGTTTAATATTAGTCAAATATTAGTGGGGAAATTACCGGCAGGTGCATTGCTACAAAGGTCACTGGATATATGAAGGCATGGACCACTACGTCGCAGAGGCTACTTCTGGTGCTTCTTTCTTCGCACACATACCGACGAGAGATATGTGGACAGAGAGAAGTTGCTGGAGAAGAGACCCAGTGAGCTTTTTCACGGATGGGTCGCAGCTAGGAGGGAAGGTTGAAGGGGAGTCTTCAGTAAGGAGCTCTCTCCGTTTTAGGCTAACGGACTACTGTAGTTTCTTAAAGGCAGAAGTGCCTGCTATTAATGTAGCACTAAACTTGCTGCTCCGAAGTGCAGCTTCTTTCAGGAAGGTGAGCATTCACTCTGACAGCAGAGCGGCAATACTAGCGTTGAGCTCGCAAGATGTGCTCTTAAAATACAGTACCTATCTACACTAAATATCTCATCAAGCTACTCATTATCTGTTTGGATGTCAGGTCATAACGGAATCTCTGGAAACTGAAAAGCCGATGAGATAACAAAAAGTGACCTCCTTACCCCGCTCTCATCGGGGTGGGAACGAGTTGGATCCCCGTTGACATCTGCAGGCGTTGTCACAGTTGTATGGAGGAAGGTGAGATGGAAACATCCAGGCACATTCTCCTCCATTGTCCAGCTTTTACAAGACTGAGGTTGAAACATCTCGGCAGTCATATCTTCGTCGAAGGAGACAATGCCAAAACTGGCATTAGCCGTCTCAATAAATTTGTGATATACTCAATGCGCTTAGTCCATTTATGTTGGTCTTTATGACCAATTTTATATGATCTTTACCTTGCTTAATTAAACCGCAACTCTCGTCGGTGGTGGATTGAATTACGGACCACTGGGTCATAAATCCCAACAGTCTCGGCTTCCATACAGACGTTGGTGTGTTATTATTATTATTATCTACCGATTTAAGGTTATCAACACACATCTATTGAGATGCGGATTCGGGCATTTGGAGGGTATTCCACTGCCCGTGTTTCCCTACTCTGACCACAAACTGAAGTCCAATAGATTCAAGTCTGGAGGAGAATATTGATGGAAGATCCAATGATCTCCATCTACCACGCCTACTAATATATTTTACTGGTTCATGGTCGTTTATCGTTTGCATCTGTTGAGCCTAATTTGCATCAAGCTGTCAGAAGATGACCCGTTGACCGACGGTAGGCTTTCATGTCGAGATCATATCAAATAAATCTTCAGATTGATCCGGTCAGTATGGTATAACTATTTCTTTTGATATCGATTTCTGCTTTCTATGGCTGAATAGGTGTGAACCACGCGACGACGATCCTCTCTCTTTCTGTCATCTACTGTAGACATTTGGGAAAAACGACAAATAGTGTGGTAAACAAACATTCTTAAATTATTAAGATTGTTGAAAAGGTCATAAATATGTAATTTTTTATGCATTGTAAACTTTGTAACAGAATATATGGCAAGACTTAGTAAAATACTCAAGATTGCCTGCCGAGGAATATCGGTTCTAAAAAAAATTAGAAGTCAGAAAAAAATTGTTTTTTAATGTTATTCGGCAACTGGTATCAAAACAAAGTACCTATGGGAGAGTAGTTCTGCATAACTCTAAGCACTAAATACCACGGTCGCCTGTTACAAAGAAAACATGGTCACTTTAGACATATGTATATGTTAGAAGTATCAGATATTTGAACTGAATGATTGCAGAGAAGCTTTGACATTGTTTTAAATCTACATTCAAAAAGGATTAGCTGTTGTTGAGTTAAAGAAGAAGGCGATCTTGATTACATTACCGACATTAGCGGACTCCAAATGTTTGATTTCAGATTTTTTTTGTTTCGAAAGCTTACTCAATTTTGGATGTTTTGAGACGCAGTTACAAATGTGAAAACTATTTTCTCAAGTATGTTTGGTTTTGGAATTATGCTGTTCTCGCTTCTGATCACGTAATGAAGTATAGTATAAGCTATATATTATAAGGTTATTTCCTAAGTATAACTTCAATATTTAGTGTTGACAGTTTTAGTGTTAATTACTGCCAAAAGACGTCCAGGCATGCTGTCTACCAGGTTCTCATGAAGCGATTATGGTATATTTTATCAGGAGACCTTTAATCTATTAAAAATCGCTTGTTTATTGTAATGTCAAGAAGATCAGTCGAGCTTAACATTCAAATATTGCCATAAATGCTCAATAAGATTCAAGTCAGGCATGATCAGCCCATACTGGAGTTCTATCGATTTTTGTTAGAAATATTCTTTTGCAATCCGTCATGTTGTGCTGGTATATAAAGTTGCGCTGTGGGCTCTAAATTTTACTCAGCATCTGCACGTAAGACTCTTCCGTTATTTTGCCTTCGACCATTATCAGATTTGATAGACCACTGTGGCTAAAGTTAACTCAAACCCTCCACCTCCGAGCTTTATAGTGCTTTGGATGCACTTACTTTGGAGCCTATCATGACTCTTTCACTAACCTTTTTTCTGCCTTTCATATTTTTAAATTCAAATTTGCTCTGAGCACCCCAAATTACACAATCCGGCCTTCAAGTTCTTTTTGCCGATGAAAGGATTTCTAATCTTGTAGTGGCTGGATTAATCATCTTCTCGGACTCGACGCTGAATTGTACGCTCAGGAACACTGATCTGAAAACTCTGCTGAATAAATCGGAATGAAACAGTTGAGCCTTTCTTCATTTCCATTATTTTTCTTGTAACTTTTTATCACTATTTTGATTGTGGCTTTGCTCCTAGAATAGCATTACTAAATAAACTCTTATTAGTACATGTACAATTTTTTTCGATTTTTGTTTTTCATTTTGAATTTTATATCTCAATGAAAAAACATCATTGCATTCTTTATAAATTTTCGATGAAGTTAAGCGTTTACTAGATATTCATCGTCAAACATCAATGCCAAAAAAAAAAGAAGAGAAAAAATGTTTGTAAATGTTTGGAAGAATTCTTCAAAAGATATTAACTTTCTTTTAAAATCGCCAGCACAATATACCATATCTGCATACAGAGCAAAACAAAAACGAAAAAAGTGCATAGTTCCTTCCGCTTTGTGTTCAGAGACAAGTTTAATGCACTTACATACATAATAATAAACCCCGTATCTTTTTTAGTATTACAGCATGTAAGTTCAATTGTGTAGCGGTTGGTTCGCAAAACTATCATTGCAACACTCGCAAGCGATTCTCCCAGCGGTGCACAAAACATACTTACAAACATATACGTATATATAAATATGTATATATTTAAGCAACAAATGCAGAGGAAGTGCAATTGCATATCCAAACAATGTTGAAATTTGCGCGAAATTGTTAGCAAAACAATAAAAAAATACACACAGTCTAGGAGCAGCGCCGCGCATGCGTAGCCGCACAAACGCGTTTAAGCACAATGCGAGTGCATTTAATGATATAATTTGACGTAACTAAACAGCTAATTTAAATGCAAATAACTTACTGCTTATTTTTTATGTATTTAACGCAACTCTGGCAACTCCATTGTTTTGTTCAAAGGAGTGCACTCGTTTACGCACTGTTTTGACAATGCTTGCAGGCAGTCGAGTGAATCATTGCATTAACCGATGCTTTGTATGCAAAATGCAGCTAACGGGAAGTAAGTGCTAGCAATTAAAGCTAAGCCATAAGAGTCGGTGGTGATTTGGGTGGGAGAAAGCGTGCCCAATCAGCCACTGATATTTCATATATTGCTTGTGTTGCAAGCCTGATTAATATAAAAACTGAAAAAAGCAAAGAAAAATATAAAGGAATTGAAATGATAAACCCAAAAATTAATTGCCATTCTAGTGCCGCAACACAGCAAAACCTCCAAATATTTGCTGAATTATTCACCACACATAACGTTTGTCTCGCTTTCTAAGGTATTTTATTGCCTATTTTACGCAAATCATATTTACCTATTTTTTATTCAACTCGCACCTTATTTGCGTGCATCACACTTTCATAAAAACATTATTTTCTGCTATAAAATTTCTTTATGACTACGCAAACGTTACATTGAAATAACCTCGGCATAAACGCCCAAGAGGTCGGGTCTAACGGCGTGCCGGCCACACAAACATAACCAAACCACAGTTCATCACCTTAGTGGTACTTTATTTTCGGCATAAAAATATTAATAAATGTATTCAAGTGCCTTTTATTTGTATGGTTTCAATAATTATCTGGGTAAATTTTGATGTTGCATAATGAAATAGCAACAACTAAGATAAATGTATGCTAAATATAATAACAATGGCTGACAATCGTAGGTTGTCAACGAAATAATGTCAAGTGTTGTATGGCTTCAAAGTTGAAAGAGAGCGGCGGAGTAAAAGCACACACAAAGCATTTGAATTGGAGTTGCCATATTTTCGCATTGACTTCACTCTCATTTGAGATTTACTTTTTTTTTGGATGCTAGAGAAATTAAAGCAAAAAAAAAAAATAGCTAACTTCGGTTGAACTTGATTTTGATCGGCCAGTTTGTATGACCTAGCTGCTACATTATAGCAATCCGATCTAAAGAATTTCTTTGAAGATTGCAGCATTGCCTTAGACAATACCCTATACCAAATTTCGTGAGTATATCTTATCAATGTAAAAAAACAATTTCAGCAATTGAACGTGAAATAAGCTACGATACGGCAGACTTCCGATCAAAGTCAATATTTTACGTTATGAGTTGGAGAGTACGAATAAAAGGTTCTAAGAAAGGTTTAAAGGTTAATATTATTTTGTCGAAAGTA